TACTCTATCCCTTGGATTGATGATTTTTTCAACCAACTTAAGGGTGCATGTGTGTTTTCCAAGATATATTTGAGGTCAGGGTATTATCTATTGAAAGTCAAGGATGCCAACATTGCCAGTTTTCAGGACAAGGTATGATCTTTACGAGTTTATTATGATGTCGTTCAGACTCATAAATGTCCAGATGACATTCATGGTTTTGATGAACTGGGTTTTCCATCCCTACTTAGATTAGTTTGTGATGGCTTTCATCGACGATATTATTCTGTACTATCGGTCTGAGGAAGAGCATGATCAAAATCTCTGTATCATTTTGCAGATGCTTAAAGAGCGTCAATTATATGCCAAGTTTGGAAAATGCAAATTTTGGTTGACTGAAATTGTATTTATGGGTTATGTAGTAGTAGCCAATGGAATCTGAGTAAATCCCCAAAAAATTAAAGCAGTGTTAGTGTGGGAACCGCCTAAGAATATCACCAAGGTACACAGTTTCTTAGGCCTAACAAGGTACTACCACCATTTCATCAAGGGTTTCTCCATGATTGCAACACAGTTAACCAAGCTACTTTAGAAAAAAGTTCCTATTGTATAGAAAGAGAAGCGCCAAGAGAGTTTTGATCGGTTAAAAGAAATCCTCATGTAAGCCCTATTTTTTACATAACCAGAATCAAGTAAAAAGTTCACCTTGTTTAGTGATGTATTACTGAATGGTTTGAGATGCGTTCTGATGCAAGAAAGGAAAGTTATGGCCTATGCGTCTCAACCATTCAAACTCTATCCTACCCAAAATTTAGACCTTGCCATAGTAGTCTTTGCGTTCAAGATTTGGAGACACTACTTATTTGGGGAGAAGTGTCACATCATTACGTATCATAAGAGCCTTAAATATCTTCTTACTCAAAAGCAGTTAAACTTGAGGCAACCTAGATGGGTAGAACTTCTAAAGGACTATGATTGTGTTATCGACTATCATCCGGGCAAAGTGAATGTTGTTGCAGATGCCTTGAGCAGGAAGACTGTGGTAGAGTTGTGAGCTTTGCTAGCGCGTTTGAGTTTGACTGATTCGGGCTGTCTGTTAGTCAAGTTGAGAGTTGATCTCGAGCTAGTGGGTGAGGTTAAGAGGTTGTAAGGTTTGAATGATCGATTAAAGGCCCAAGTTGAGCAAGTCCTCTGAGTTGAGGCCCTAGGTTTTGAGTTGTACGATGGATGTGTACTGTATTTTTAAGGGAGTTTATGTATGCAAGCAAAAAAATAAGTTCATGACAAGATCCTACATTAAGCACAATGTAGCCCCCTTTCCATTCATTTGGGTAGCAACCAGATGTACCAAGAGCTTTGACCATTGTATTGGTGGCCGTTCATAAAGATATAAGTGTTTGAGTTTGTTTCTAAGTGCCTAGTGTGCCAATAAGTTAAGGCAGGACATTAGGTTCCCTCAGGATTATTACAGTCAATTCAGATATCGTAGTGGAAGTGGGAATGAGTGACTATGAACTTTGTAATCTGGCTACCGATGACAAGATTCAAGCATGATGCAGTTTGGGTAATAGTGGATCGTTTGAACAAATCCACTCACTTTCTTCCAGTTCGGATGAACTTCATGTTAGAGAGATTGGAACAATTGTATATCCATGAGATTATGAGGTTGTATGGAGTTCCTATCTCAATCATATATGACAAAGAGTTATGCTTCACCTCTTATGGAAAGCCTTACATGGAACGTTGGGTACTAAACTGTATTTTAGAACCGTCTTTCATCCTCAGACATACGGAAAATCCGAGCAAGTTATTCAGATCTTAAAGGATATTCTTAGATATACCGTTTTAGATCTTGGGGGCAGTTAGAAGGATCACTTTCCCTTGGTGGAGTTCATATACAATAACAATTATCAAGGAAGTATTCAGATGGATCCTTATGAAGCCTTATATGGGCACAAGTGTAGAACTCTGTTGTGTTGGACGAAACTCAGTAAGGGTAAAATTATACGTCTCAACTTGATATGAGAAACTAAAGAGAAAGTTCAATTGATTCAGAGTCGTTTGAAGGAGGCTTCTGACAAACAAAGGTCTTATGTCGATATGAAGTACAAGTATATATATTTTGTAGTAGGAGACAAGGTATTTCTCAAGGTTTCCCCATGGAAAAAAGTACTTGAGTTCGGACGCAAGGGTAAGATGACCCACAATTCATCGAACCATATGAGATTCTATAGATATTTGGGCCAATGATTTATTTTTTTAGAGTTACCTCCAGAGCTCGAGCGCATCCACAATGTGTTCCATATTTCTATGCTTAGGAGATACCGGTCCGATCCACACTATATTATTCCTCTTAAGCATGTCGAGGTGAGGCAAGACCTGACTTACGAGGAAGAACCGATTTGAATCCTTGTCATAGAAATTAAGAAGTTGAGAAACAAAATAATAATGTTAGTGAAAGTTCGGTGGAGAAACCATGGCATAGAGGAAGCGAGATGAGAACCCAAGGAAGACATGCAACTTTAGTATCCACACCTCTACTATTAAGGTAAATTTCAAGAACAAAATTTCTTTTTAGGAGGGGAGAGTTGTAACGCATCGAAATACATGTTAATAGGTTTGAGTTTATTCAATTTGGATATTGGAATAATTTCCCTTAACCCATAAAGCTTTAAAGCCAAGTGGATTTGATTTGGGCCTTGAATAAGGCCAATATGTATTAAAAAGGGTGTCTTTGATTTTGAACCGAAAGAGGTAGGATTAACAAGGTATTATTCCAAAATTTAAAACCAAGGCTTAATTCCCATTGATTAGGATGGTATCACCGTCTGATAACTTCACCTCTTTTTCTTCACCTTGCTTTATTTTCTTCGTCTCTTATTCTTTATCGTTTTCCCTTCCAACTCAAGCTAAATCTAGAAACTTTAAGAAACTCAAGCCTTATTTGAGATTTCTAAGGTAAGAACAACATCCTACACTTCCTAAGCTTCAAATTAAGCCCTCATTTTCAAATTTTGAGTGTCTTATTTAAAAACAAGTTTTAGAGGGTTTTATGAAACCTTACGATTCAATCTATTTTTTGGGTGAGTTTTAAGTTATTGAAATGTTTCTAACCTCATCCAAGAACTCCCATGAGTTGATAACCCATATTCTTTGTCTTAATTAGTGCAAGAGAAGGGTGACAACTCTAAGGCAAGCTGTAAGGAGAAACTCACTCTTGAGTGATTCAAGAACATTTTCAACAGGCTAGCATCAAGGTAACACGATTTTAACTTATCCATACCACATGTAAGTCATTTAATGTGCATGAATGGTATGTTTAGTTCATGAAAGCATGTTATAGTAAATTCAAGGTGAAATATGTATTTGTTGTTTGCAAGCATGAAAGTTGATACCTTTTGATCTCTAATACCTCAAATAAGTCTTTAATAAGCTTGGTTAGTTATAGAGGAGTGAATGGATGATTAGTTGATGTAAATTTTTTCCCAGAATAGGGTACTCAATATCATCACTATCAGTACTAGAAGAGCAATATTGTTATTGTTTTTTTGTGAAAGGCAAAAATTTGGCTATTTTGTAAGGGAAGTATCGATACTCCCTACGAGGGCATCGATACTCGGGGTCCAGTATCGATACTCAGAGGGTCAGTATCGATGTTGAGGCAGTTTTGAAAATATCGAAGCCATTTTTGGTATTTGTACTCATGGGAGTATCGATACTAAAATATTTTCAGAACATCGAAGCTAAATTTGGTATCAATACTCAGTGAGTATCGATACTCAAGGGTCAGTATCGATACTATTGACACAATATTGGTACCATCGTTGATTTTTGGGTAATTTGGTTCGTTTAGTTTGGGGATTCATGTTTAGGTGTTTTGAGTTCGTATATGCTACAATTATTCAATGCAAGAAAAAATGAACAAGTTAACTAAATTCTCACCTATAAATCAAGCAAGTTGGGATGACATATGATTTGCCTTTGTATGATGCTCGAGAAACGGTTAGGACACTCGAGTTTTTCTAGCATTATGAAGGTCATACTCTGTTGTGAAATATCCAAATATTGTTTGACTTGGTGCGCATGGATGCATGTAAATTCCAGATCATGTTGATACGCATCGACACATGTAAATTCCATATCATACCCTATGCTCGAATATGTCTTGGATATGAGCTTCCAATGCAAGAAAATTTCAGTCCTCACCCTGAGCACTCGGGTATCAGAGGTAGACTAGGGCTATATGTTCCGATGCACGTAAATACTAATTCTTACCTCGAAGCTATCACATTCGAGATAGGCTAGCGTGTTTTCTGAGATGGAAGTAAATTTCTCTGACCACACCACTTGGCCTATCTCATGTTTTCTATGTACGTTTTCATGTTTACGACTTTGCACACTATTATGTTTATGAAATGAATGCTTGTATTATTGCATAGTTATTTTCATGGTACTGAGCTTGTGAGCTCATCATATGAAATGTGTTTTCATGCGTAGGTCAGTAGAGGATCGTCTAGAAGCCTATCACATCAATATATTCCAGATTAGACGTTGTAGAGTATGTCTTGAGTCTATTTTAGAGGGCATGTATTTTATATGGACCTTGTATTATTCGAGTCATAACTCTATTTTTGTTTAAACTCAATGGATGTATTTTGTATATTTTTTGGGAGACTCTCATATATTTTATAAACTTGAAATATGATTTTGATTATGCTATGATGAATGTTTTGATGTTATGAATGTTTTGAAAGAAATTTTTAAATTGAGCATTTCAATGGTCCCATGTGACATCGTAATCCATGGATCTTTGGGTCAGACTAGATTAGGGTGTTACAGCGTCGACCAGACACATTCCTCGTATTCGAGTATTGTAAATCATTGGTTAATATCATTTCTAGAATATCACAAGCTTAATTATATGTTTTATCTAACAAAGCCTCGTTTATTGAAGCATAAATTACCATACGAGTGTGTATGTTCAACTAGTTGTAAAACATATCCATTTGAGTCCTATGTGGAAACACATGCATCAGACACTTCCGCAGAATATCCTTAAATCTTTCTCATGCCTCATTCAAGCTTTCTTCTTCCAATTGCTTAAAATAAGTAAAGTTTTTTCGAAGTTTGGAATTCATGTTAGGCGGGTTAAATTTCAACAAGAATTTCTGTGCCAGCTCATTCTAAGATGTTATAGCACCAGGTGGAAACAAGTTCAACCATGCACTAGCTTTATCTCGCTGCAAATAAGGAACTAGCTTCAGCTTCAGTGCTTTCTTAGGAACACCTTGCTAAAAAATGAATCACATACTTCCATAACTAATCGCAAATTAGCTTGAGAATCTTCAGCAACGAACCCTTCATACTAGACCATAGATTGTAACTTTTGAAACAGATCGGTGTAATAGCCTAAATAGTAGGCCAGTGATTAATTTGAAAGAAAATTAAAAATTTGGAGGACTAAATTGAATAAGAGGGTAAAGTATAATAAATAACTTAAGTAAGACCAATGTGTAAGAGATAGATTATTAAAACGACATTTTGGTATTTTTAAGTGAAATGAAATTAAAACCCATTTAAATTCTAGGGATTTAATAAAAATAGGAAAGTAAGCTATTTCCATTATTCTTCTTCTCACGTGGGTTTTGATCTCCTCCATAGCTCCAAAGGTAAACTTTAATAAATCAATTTTCCTTTTGATTATGGGTAGTTCTTGTAACCTTAAGTGATATATTAGCTTAATGAAAGGTTTTATTTGATTAAAACTATGAGATAGAAGAGATAATGGAGATTTTAGAAAATGTGTTTTTAATTATATGTTAATATATGAGTGTTTATTAATGTTTATTGGTAGAATTGAGTTGTCAAAGAGGTAAATGAGAGATTAGAAGCATTGGATGAGTTTAAAAACAAAATAGAAATTTTGGTGTGATTCTTATAATCAAACAATCTTGAATGATTCTAGATGTTCTAAGTATCTAAATGAAGGAAAAATTAGTATGGATAAGTAAAGAAGAGTTACAGAGTATTGTTGGGGGTAAACATGAGGAAATTTGACCAAATTTAGGTATTTTTCGGGTTGAAAAATGGAAAATATGGGTAATAGTATCGGTACTGATAGAACAGTTCTGATACTATAGGCTAAAATGGAATGAATTAGTTGGGTAGTATATATACTGATGCAATAAGTATCAATACCGAAGGGGAGCATCGATACCAAAAGGAAGGTATTGATACCATTCCAAAATAGAATCCAAAAATGGTATCGATACTGTAATAGGGTATCAATACCATAGTATAGTAGTATTGATACCATAGTAAGGGTATCGATACTATTGAGCCAGAAATGTAAAGATAAGCTAAGGTTGTTATGGAAAGTATAATAATATGTGCTACTGAGTAATGTTTAAGTATAATTGTTAGGAAATATGCTAACAATTAATATTATACATGTCTGTGTTGGATGCCTAAGTAGATCAAAATCAAGCTCTCGAGTCATACAAAACAAAAGGCAAAGGCAAAGTACCTGAGTAATCAACTTTGCGTTTTGGATATAATAGTGAGGTAATCCAGGTGAGTACATTTATTACGTACGTACATGTTATGGTAGTCATAGGTATATTATTGATTTATATATGTATGGTGATTACCAAATTGCACTGAGTGTGCAAAATGCTAAGAAATTCATACTAAGTGCATGAATTTCCGTATGGGCACTATGTGTGCAAAACAAAGAAATTCATACTAAGTGTATGAATTTTCGTCTCATAAATATACGTACAAATATAAGAAGTTCATAATAAGTAGGTGATTTTTCGTATTGGTAGTGGATATGCAACTAACGTAAATTATAATAAGGGTTAAGAAATGACTTATTAGCAATACCAATGTAAACTATAGAGTTTATAATGAGTTGAGAGAGTTCATTGATATTATAAACAATTATTAAAGTAGAAATTATTCTAAAGTTAAAAGATTAATGGCCAAGTTGTGCATTTGACAGAAAGATGTCATTAATGCGAGTTAGGTGAAAGGCTAAGTTCCTTTAAGGCCTAGCTGTGCATTTGACAGAAAGGTATCATTAATGCCAGTTAGATGAAAGGCTAAATGCCTTGAGGTCTAGCTGTGCATTTGAAAAAAAGGTTTAAATTATGTCAGTTAGATGAAAGGCTAAGTGCCTTTGAGGCCTAATTGTGCATTTGATAGAAAGGTGTCAATTATGCTAGTTAGATGAAAGACTAAGGGCCTTTGAGGCCTAGCTGTGCATTTGGCAGAAAGGTGTCAATTATGCCAGTTATATGAAAGGCTAGGTGCCTTTGAGGCCTAGCTGTGCATTTGACAGAAAGGTGTCAATTATGCCAGTTATATGAAATGTTATATATCTTTGAGTAAAAGACTAGATGTATAACAATGCATATGGGTGCATTCTCGGCATGAAAGGATGCCATAATTAAAAAGCATATGGTTACATTATTGGTATGAAAGGATGCCATAATTGAAATGCATATGGGTGAATTATCGGCATGAAAGGATGCCATAATTGAAATGGATATGGGTGCATTATTGGCATGAAATGATGCCATAATTGAAATGCATATGGGTGCATTTGTGGCATGAAAGGATGACATAATTGAAATGCATAAGGGTGCATTATTGTCATGAAATGATGCCATAATTGAAATGCATATGGGCGTATTCTCAACATGAAAGGATGCCATAATTGAAATGCATATGGGTGCATTCTCGACATAAAAGGATGCCATAATTGAAATGCATATGGGTGCATTCTCGGCATGAAAGGATGCTATAATTGAAATGCATATAGGTACATTTTAATTATAAATGGATGCTATCAATTAAAATAAAGAATAATGACTAAAGATATAAATGGAAGAGAAAATTATAAAGGAAGATTGATAGATAGGCATAAGAAAAATAATTAAGAAAATTGTGAATGGAATACGGTTTAAATAAGGAGGAGTATGGGATCCTTAAAGAATATTCGATTTAGTACGAACTAAATAGATGTGACATACTTATGTATACATAAAGGTTACTTTAAAATATTATGTCTCACTAAGTAAATACTTAACGTATGTTGTTTTCACGCGTAGGTAAAAATGGAGACCAGTTAGGTAAGGAGTGCAGCAGTAGTAGCATATATCATCTATTAAGGTTAACTCTAATCAGTAACGGTAGGACAATCATGTTTATTTTGAAAATTTGTTGGCATGTAATCGGATTTAACGAAAAATGCTCTCGAATGTATATAAAGTTAAAATTTTGGTAGTATATTTCGTTGATTGTTTTATGATTGTGCTAAAATTTTTTAATTTAAATTTCGAAATAAGCTTTTAAGCGTTTTAAAAAGATAATTGTTTTAAAAGTGATGTGACATCTGTATCTCATGTACGGAATGATATACGAGATATGGGTGTTACATTTATTGGTATCATAGCTATAGGTTTAGCCGATTCTCAGCCAAAATTGGGTTTAGTTTAACTGAGAAAAAGGATTACATGCCATTAAGATTGTCAAAGTTACTAATATGGTGTCAACTAGAGTGTGATTGACGTCACTCCTTACTAACTTGAGTGTTATTATTATGTATGTTCTAATAGATGTTGGAAACTAAGGACAAAAGTAAGAAAGTTGATAATATTGAAAAGAGGGTCGAGATCACAATCGACCCAAGAGAATCTGACATGATTTCAATATCATGTCTTAGAAGGGTAAAAGTTGTTAGGGATTTTCCTCAATTCTGTGGAAGGAATGCCTTAACGTTTAATGACATTTATGACTTTGAGAAATACTTAAGTGAAGCATTAAAGTGTTTAAAGTATGGTTAAATTGAGTAAGTAGAAATGAGTAAGCGATAAGTACATTGATCGCTACAAGCTTATAGAAAGAGGAGTTGTTAGTGGATGAACTGATTATGAGTTGTTTAAGAATTAATGTTATGTTTTATGAATCTAATAGAGTTATTTTTTTAGAAAGTAATTTGTGAAGATGGATTTACTACCCATTTCATGCTTCAATGGATTATTATTTAAATTTGAGACTAATTCTCGAGAACTTGGAAAAGTGTCAAGTTCATAATGAAAGGAAAAAGAGTAAATTGGTTACTAGTGTAATTTTAGCATTAACTGCTATGAGGTTATTTCTACAAAGTTGACAAGTCCTCTTATTAAATGATATGGTTAATTAGACTTTCATAGATGAGATAAAAAATGTTTCAACTGCTCGAGAATATTTTAAATGAATCCGTAAAAGTTATAAGTTTACCTTAAAAAGGAAATGAAAGATTTTAAAATAAAAGTATTTTATTTAACTTAATCAGGAGTGAAATGATAGTAGAACCCTAGTGGGTCATGGTTCAAAGATGGGTTGGATATGTAGTAAACAATCGATAAAGATTCCAAGGGCTATGTTTCTGGTGAACCTATTGAAATTATCATTTGGTGAGTTAAAATCATATTGAATATAAGTTGTTTGTCTCTAGAGACGATTATTTCAGAAAAATGCAGATGTTATGGCAATTATAGTTTTTAATGAGAAAGAAAAATCATCGCTCAAGGTGATATCAATAATGATTGTGAAGAAAATGACGCTAGAAAGATATATATATATAAAATGTTTATGGTTAATGTGATAGATACTCAGATAATGAAAGTAGAATTGTTTGATAATTTCACGAAAATATGGGAATTTATTGAGTTACCTTCATATTGAAAGGTGGAATTCAAAGTTAATAGTTATTAAGGTATTGAATTTGTTTCTATGATTTAGTATTAAATGACTTAAGTGAGTCAAGAGAATTAGAGATTCAATTATAAGAGTTGATTGATCGAAGTTTTATCAACTCAAGTATTTCATCTTGGGAAGTATGTGTGTTATTAGCGAAGAGAAAGATAAATTTATGTGGTTATACATAGATTTTGATAGTTAAATAAGACTCTTCGAGAGAAGAACTTGTTTACCAAACTATTCAAATGTGAAACTTTGGTTAGCAGAGATGGTTTCCTTTGACCATGTTGTTTCGGCATAAGGTATAAGAATATATCTTAAGAAAAACTCATGTTGTCGTAAATTGGAAACTCCCAAAGAATGATCCTGAAGTTTGGATTTC